TGCGATTTGCTTACCGGAATCTCCTGACTTGAAAGTCGTATGCAATCATACCAAAATATCGATATTTAGATATATAACGTAGAGATTATTATGAATAAATGAGAGAACCGTATTGAGATAAGACAGGTTTTACTCTCTCCTTTAAAATTTTGGCAACCTCACATACGAGGTTTTGTATTTTCTTGGATGTACGCGGTTTTGTACTTTAAACGACGAAATGCATATAAGTAGGTACATTAAGTGTAGATATATGTATGTATGCACATGAGCAAATAAATTTAAGATTCTATTTATTTGATAAGTTATCTTAATCAGTCAACTACATACACTCCAGAGAGAGCACTACCTACCTACAGACGTGTTTAAGACACTTGATTTCCTTCTGGGCCATATACCATAGTACACGCAAGCGATGCGTGCGTTCTCCTTGATAATGAAAACATATTCACATAATCTTAATACATATGTGAGCCATTTATTTTGAAAGTGACCGAAGTCATTTCATGCCGCTTGACTTCAATGATCATTTATCTGTTATCCGTTCAACTTCATCAGTCGAAGGCAAATTTGGTTTCTCATTAATTTGGTCATTAGTTTATATTGGTAGAAAGATTTACAGATCGTCGCCTGGGTAAAAGATTGTCGTAAGCGCAATTTTGACGATTTTTAGTTATAGATGCAGTTATATATATATAGAAATAAGGTCTTTCGATTGGTGTTATCAGTTTTTAGATATCTCCTTTAGTTGCCGAGATATTGACTACAATTTTTTCGATAATTTAGTAAAAATTTTATTAGTGATGCAGTCATATTAAACTAATTAATATCTTAAAAGTTGCGTTCTCCATTTTTGGATACCTCTTTTAGTTTCCGAGGTATTGAGTAAAAAGTGTCGTTAATTTAGTAGAAGTTTTGATCGCATTTTGTCGTACATATTTTATAAAATGTGGCTGCCAAATTGTGGACAAATGACGCTTACGACAAAACTAATTGGCAGTAAGCATTAAAAATTAAATAATTTAAGAATTTTGTGAACTAGTAAAATTTTCAGAGACTTTGGAGAAAATCCATCCTGGCGTTTTTGAGAAATTGCATTCCAAACTTCAATCGCGATTTGCCCCCGAAATTAACATACGACCGCCGAAATTAACATACGACATTCTTTTACCCAGGCGATGAGATGTATTAATGGCGTTTTCATTTCTACAAAAAAAATGTAGCCTTTTTATTGCCCTCTGCGCAGAAATACTAGGTAGATGGCAATGAAAAGGCAACATTTATTGTAGAAGAGAACAAATCAAACATTTCAGCACAAGAGGTGGAAATGACTTATGTCACTTTCAAAATAAACAGCTCATGTACATACATACATATGTGTCTACGTCCGGTCAGCGTATGAGACTCAGTCAGCTACTATGTGGTTAATGTCGTCACAGGCAACTACAGAGTTACGTTTATGAATATATACCTACATATATATGTATGTATGTATGTATGTACGTTCATATCTACATACAGTCTGTGAAAAAAGTATTCATTTTGTCTCGAGGAGTGCGCAAAGCATGAAAGGTATTTTTATCTCATTTTTGATCTTATCGAATCTATCTATAAATGTGATTGCTTTTAGTTAATTCAATCAAAAAGTTGTAATCGCAATCAGTCACAATCGTGACGTTACAGATTTTAGGTAGGACTCGAATCCACCAAGCTAGCTTGTATGACCATATCGTTTCTACGATAGTTATCATTTATATAAAAATGCTTATTTTCCTTCAATACCTAAGACTCTCGGGGCTATCACTGAATCCATCGTAGTACGATTTTCACGAAATCAACGAAAATTCGATGACTGCATTCCAATTGCTACGTAGATAGATAGCTAGTTAATGAGAGCAATTAATAAATTTCAAGAAAAATCGAACTACTATAAATGCAGTGATAGCCCCGCCTATAAAATACATACATACGCATAAAAAGGCGTTCGATTAGTTTTCCAGTAGATAATTTATTTGTACTACTGAGAAACTTGTAAATGTAAGGATAGCCTAATTTTTTCATGCGTATTATAAATACACAAGAATTACCTCTTTAACTTCAGCTAGGCGTGTGCATAATTTTCTAAAATACTGTATGTGAAGTATGTAATATGATTACGACGGTGCACGTGAATAGTAAAGTGCTTAAAAGTCTGAAGGTTAAATATGAAATATAAAAATGACTTACATAGCATAGGACAAAGCTGATTGCTCCGAGTTGCAGAGAAGATTCTCAGATAAAAAGACTCGGAAAAACACTCGAAAAACATAATGATAAATTCAAAAGGGTTTACAATAAAAATAGAAGCAAACTGAAGTGGGTGTTCAGTCGAAGCTCTCCAGAATGTATATCGTAAAGTAAATAATAACACTGGTTTACAGCAAAAATGTTCTATGGATGCCACTATCCAATTCCTATGTAGAATTACTCGGTGCTTCCGAAAATCGATTTAATTTTCTTTCTATGGATACGTTTTCGAGTGAAACCACTCTGTTTTTTAAGCTGAATAACGGTAAATTGCAAATATTTCGAAAACGAATCCATAGAAAAAACAAATAACTCGATTTTCTGAATCACCGAGCAATTCTACATAGAAATTGGATTGTGGCATGTGGAGTACAAAAAAAAACTAAAATTTGTGATCCAGTGTTGGGTATATTTTGTCTACATACTTAAAATTAATTATTCGCACAGTAACAGCATAAATTGGTTTGTTGTTGTGAATTCACAATCTGTTAAATAGATGATTGGCAGCTAGCCAGGGGAGTGCGATGACTTAGCGCGCTCGAATTTGCATACATATTTTTTCGTCAAAATATGAGGCAAGAGAGGGCATACATAAATACATATGTGCCTACGTACATACATATCCCGTGAGGAAATAGGCAATAATGCCTCACCAGCAACAGTCATTGGGAGTAGTTTGGCGCTCGGAAATAACTTCGGCGCCACGTTATTTTGCCATTTACAACGTAAGGCATCATCGGAGGTGTTAATTTTATAGTTTCACTAATAGATGACGTTGGTTATGCTGGCAATTTTGGTGCTTACCTATTTTCCCAGTGGGTATGCACTTCCCTACAAGACATCTGCCGGCCATATGACCGGTCATCTGACTGGGAGATCTGCAGCCTTTTGGGATCATATTTTACGTAAGAATTGAAGGGATTTCTGAAAAGTTCTTTTGTGTACAAGAGATTTTGCATCCCTTTTCATCATATGGCCTCGATTGACGTTAACTTAAGGCCTCTGTTTTTACGTGTATTGGTTTTTATTTGGTCAATCTAAAATGTCATTTTCTTGTAGGGTTAGTGTATACTCTTTAGCTAGTACATACATTAGGGCGGGTCAATTTGTATGTTCTTTGAAACCTATTTTCGCAATTTGGCAAAATCCTAATTGATTTCTTTGGCGAATTTGCGTGCATGGTGTTTTTTTTTTAATATTCACAATGTGTTTCAAGTTAAAACTTTTTTATTTATTTTTGAAAAGATTGCTCATGCTTTACCCAAAACCATATAAATCAAACCTTCTGTCTTTATACAAAATTTAGAAAAATTCCACAAATCTTCATTAAGCTTTTGAACTTTTTAATGTGAAATATATTTCTTTTTGGGTTTTTTCACTTTTTGTCACATAAATGTGCATTTTTTTGTGGAAAAATGCCGAGACCGTTCACAAACAACGCCAGCTTTTATAAATTACCGCAATGGACAAAAAAAAAAAAAAAATCAACGCAAATTCTTAGCTGCTTCAAACCATCATTTTGCCATACTAAAATTTCATGGGCTATAAAACTGCATACCTACAAAATATTAAAAATATCGAATTTTTTATGAAATTTTTTTGAATTTTTCTAATTTTGATTTACATGCATATATTGTTTTGATTATAACATAAACAACAAAACAATTGATTTAAGCGCTCTAATGATATTTGCGATCCCGTACGAGACCGGACTAGTCAGAAATAGTCAGAATTAGTCGGATTTTACTGGAAATTGATCCCGTACTCGGTTCTCTGACAATTGAGGGGACAAAAAAGAGAGTAAATAAGGTTCTCTCTCTGTCAGAAGTTACCATCCCATACTTTTCAGTGTTTTTTTTTATCAAACTGAACATTGTAATAAAAAGAATTAGGTAGTCATATCCAGGATATATAGGATAAACCAATTATGATAACTTGGTACACAGATGGCTCATTGATGGGATAGGATACGAGCAGTTGTGGTGCTAGATGGAAAATGGACGTCGGCGATACCAGCTTTGCGAGTCCTCTTTCAGCTTTTAATTTAATGAGGTGAATTTGCACTCTTTATGGGAATCATCCCGGGGGTAAAATTCCTCGTAAGTGATAGGTGTTTGAGAAATTTGCAGCCCGTAGGTCTGAAACTTATGCATTATGTATGTAGATAGATGCCTGGAACTCAATGTCAAGCGAAACTACCGGAGTCAGAACATGGCGAACTTGACTGACAGCCAAGCGGCTATAAAGGCCTTCCCCATCAACCCCTTTCATCGGCTCAGAGTCCAATGCATACAACTTAAACTCGCAGGTTTCTACTCCGTTCAATAATAATAATAATAGGGATGTATTTAGGCTGATAATTTGATTTTGGTAAAATACCCGGGTACTCGAATATTTTACTACTCGCGTGGACTGATTACTGGAACGGATACCGGACAATTTTACGATTGTAGAAGTCTTTTTCGACATATTTTACGCACAGCACGTGCTTCTTTCAGTGGGTGAATAATGGGTAGATACACTATCCGGGTATTACTCGTTTACCCGGCAACTATTTAGATTAACCGAGTATCAGTAGTCCTAGGATTTATGCACTTATAAACATCGCAATATTTTTTACTGAATTCGTTCTTTTTATTTAACTATTCATTTAATACATTTGCTTTTTTCAACATTTAATGTGCTTTCATTTCTATTAGTAACATATTTCATTTTCTATTAGTAACATATGATAATATATTTAGATGATTTTTTTGTGTGGATACATTTTACAATTCTCCGCGGATACTTCGAGGGTTAAGGCCGCAGTAACACTCTGATGTTTAAATGTAAAATTATGACACCGTAGATTATTTTATTATTTATGGCTGAAGCAATAACGCGACCCCGCCAAGGATCCATTTGGCTGGTCGTTCACGGGTCTTTAAATTAAAGGTCCAAACGTAAGTGGCGCCGCGCAATCTGCAATGAAAACGAAAAAAAAAACATTTTTAACATTTGAACAGCCTTTTAAAAGTTAGTACTAAGTAGAAGTGTATATATTTCTATCTTATCACTGCAAGTTGCTATAAATCATAAAAATAGACTGCAATAGCCAATTTCAATAAAAATGGCAAGGTTGAATGAACTTTAAACCAACTACATACCTACTAGGAATGTTAATCCTGGGATCCCGGTACCTTTTGCAATATTTTAAATGGGCCAATTCCACTGTGCGTCGCACAGTGTTTCGACTATATGAAGGCAGGTGGAAAGGATAGTTAATGTGCATCGATTTCGGGGAAACTTGGCATGTGCTCTAATTTTTCTTAGGAATAGGGAATTATGAGGAAGGATAAATATGGGCTAACTGCCACGCCCTCCACCATTATGGGCGGAAACATTAAATTTCATCCGACCTCGATGAAATTTAGCTTGTAATCTATTTTTTATTAGAAAATCCTAAATATAAAATATGGGGAATGTTGGCGCACGTCTAAAAATTGTGGGCCAATCCCTAAAGTCCGGCTGTTCAATGTCTGATTAGCACAAATCGGAGATAGAAGCTACGGTTAAATTCAATGACTGCTTTATCGATCACATGTTATATGCACGATGTCAAAAACATCGATAATGGTGTTTAACTGGGAAGTAGTGATAACCATACATTGAACAACTGGCCCTAAATGTGATGAAATTGTGGTTAATTTTTGTGTCCTGCTTTCCACTCTCAGAAATAAAAAGTTTAAACTTAAATAATGCATAGGTGTAAGCATTCTCAATTCTCCCGAATTTTCGAACAAGTTGGTTACACACTTATTCGGTTAATCAATTACTCGAGTAATCAAGATATTCATTACTTAAAACGGTAATAGGTTCATTCCTTATCTTTTTGGACTAAAATCTGAAAAGTGTCAAAATGCCAGAGCGTAAGCAAAATGCGCTCACTAAAAGAGAATAACAGGAAAAGTAAAGGAACGCATAAAACCAAATTTTTAGTCCAAAGAATGGCAACAACAAAGCTAACGTCAAATAAGAATGGAAATGTATGTACAAAACACATTCACACAAGCACAAGCACTTACTTATCAATTCACTTACTATATCAATTATTTTTTGCCTCCTTCCAATTTCAATTCACTTTTTTTACTTTTTATATTATTCTCACTTTTTGCGTATTCTTTAATTTCCATTAATTTAAATTTAGTTGAGTTTGATACTTTTCAGGATTTTGCCAGAAAAAATTCTTCTGACTAAATCTGACTACTTCGGACTGATGAGATTCACTCTCACTGGGTCTTGCTCTCTCATTTTAGCTGTCATTTCCGAGTTAAGGAACGCTTTTTGGACTAAATCTGACTACTTCGGACTTTTTCTGACTATTTCTGGGAGATAAGGAACGCTCCTAATATGATTACACAAAAAAATTAATTTTGCTCGTTAATAGAGTTTGCTTTGGAAAATGCTTATTTTCTTTTTAACATTCTGTATATGAAAAAAAAGATTCAATTTAAATTTCTAAAAACAGAAGCGTCGTTTTCAAAGTATCAAGGAACTTCAACTGCTTTATATGTATGTAAAGAGATTTTCGAAATAATTGTTACTAATTTTACTTATAATGTCGATTAATCATAAAGTAAATTACTCAAATATTTTTGTTTTTAGTTAATCAAAATCTTGATTACTCGAGTAACTGAACTCTTGAGTAATAATAATTTCCAATAGATCGAGTAATTGAGTTATTTACTTTACGATTAATTAAAATTTTGAATAATAAATTAATCGCACAGCCCTACTACTAATAACAATTAGCATCTATGATAATGATAAATACCTTCACGTGAATAATCCACGCCACTTAAATAATTGTTTATAATTGAAAAAGAAACACTTGCTTTTATTGGTTCAGCGCCAAACTAAACTGATAACTGATAACTCGATATCGCGCCGATTCTAGTATTTTTGTGGGAAGTACCGTTCACTGAGAGGAGGGTGAGTAATTGATATGAAATTTTGTATTTATGACTCGTACTTTTCCCTCTCTAAGCCCAACAGGTTTGTTTTGTATCAACAGTCACCATAACTTTTTCACCTGCCTTCAAATAGTCAAAACTCTTTTAAGGCAGAAATACACTAATGGTGATTTCGTTTATACCAAAAAGTGTTGCCTTTTCATTGCCCCTTGCTCTTTTCGCGTTCGATTCTAAATTAAATGCAAAGGGTTAGAAAATTTTCTGTTCTACTTATGTGAACTAACCTTGGAGCCTTACACATGTAATACTCAATCACCTACTAAATACACGTACATATATTTATTCTCCCTACGAAGTTTTTGTGTCACTCACTATTTATGTGCATAAATTAAATCTTACCTTGTCTTGTACAACGGACACTCATAGCAACGCTGCGTCTCCTGTTTCTCCTGTACAATAGATTTTATATAAATGACTGGCATGGCGCAGAGCAGCTCCTTTGGCGGCAATGGTACAATGGAATTAAGTTGACAATCCCAACTGGCTCCATCCAAGTATAGAGCATGCACGAGTGCACCTTCAATGGGTGGTAAACTAGGCGAGAGAGGAAATAGCTTATTGTTACTTGCATATGTATGTATGAACCATTTTCACTGTAAAATGGGAAAGCTTTAATTTAAAATAAAAAATATTAATTTGAAAATTAGATAAGTTAAAGTAACTTCAGGCTAATTTTGGCCAAAATGTATTTAACAAAGTGTGATTGAATTTGAAATTACTCTCATAAGAACCATCTTACAATGACAAATTGAAAAACAATTTGTATGAATTTTGAATCATTTGTTTATATTTTAAAAGAGAGCGTCACTGAGTTGTCAATCACACCTTATATAATACACATCGTACAGTTTCCTAAGCAAAAACACTATCAGCTGATTGCCAAAAAATGCCTACAGCTGAGATCACCTGTTTTTGGCATTTGCTCTTATCTTTTAAAATTTCTTTCATTTCTATTACAATTTCTTTATTTCTATTACAATTTAATCAAAATACACTAACACACTGAACCGAAAACACACCTACAGCCTGCCAGAAAAAAGGGGAGGAAGAAGAGTTACGTTACTTGTGGAACTGTACGATGATACACCACTTGATTCTGGCGAAAGGGCGATAGTCATACCATTCGATAGTTTCGATATTTTCAAGAAAACGAGAAAACGATAGTCAAATAAAAATTAAAAATCGGTAGTATCGTATAAATTTGCTAAGCAAATTTGCATTGTTTGAGATATGTTCTATATATGGGGAGATATATATTTCTTGTGGTTTTTCTTGAGAGCTGCAAACAGACGGATGGCAAGATAGTTCGAAATAGAGATGGGCGAAATTGGTTATTTTTCACGTGACACGATGTGCCACGCTTTTTCACGCGTGAACCTGAGCGGTTTTGAGAGAAAAATCAAGTAATTTTCGTGATCGTGCGTGACTGAAATTTTTGCTAACGTGAGCGTGCGTGAGTTAGATTTCCACGCAGTCACGTAATTTTCACGTATTTTTAACCAAAAATTAAGACGGAAACACAGATTTATTTAATAAATACAGGAAACCAAAGTTGTTACGTTACTTTAAAATTTTGGGAGAAGGCTTAGCATTTGCTACTTTTTTGTTAACCGAGTCAATCATTTTTTTTCCATACAAAGTATGTATGTTCGACGATTTTTTTTATATCGACAAAAAAAAATATCAAAAAATCAACGGTAAGTCGGAGCTATTTTTTAACTTGCACTTTATCATACTTAAATTGAATTGGCTACAAACCAGCATACTCAAAATATTTCCTAAACATCGAATTAAAAGGCGCGAAATTTTTACGAAAGTTAATTGATTTTTTTCAAATGTGAGAAAGCGTGCGTGATCGTGCGTGACCAAAAAATAGGCATCGTAGGCGTGCGTGAACGTGATTGAAAAAAATATAACAGATCGTGAGTGTGCGTGATTTACAAAATCATCAACGTGAGCGTGCGTGAACGGGGGCCAAAATCACTCACGTGCTCATCTCTAGGTCGAAAGACTTTTGTTTTTCTAGCACCAAAGTCTTAGAAAAGAAGCTCTTTCTATTACCACTGGTGGTGAAAAGCTATTTTGAGAGAAAGTACTATAGTACTTTAGTATTTTAGCTCGCTTTGCTCCAACAGTCGCAATAGGCGAGTGAGCAAGGCAGAGTCGTGCTATTGGAGAGGTCCGAGTTCGAGTGCTCAGGCAGCGAAATTTTTATTTTATTATTTTTTAACCTTTTTTTTAAATAAAAATTTTTTTATTTTTTAACCTCATTTATATATTTTTTGATTTCATTTAATTTTTAAAAACTTATTTTATGTTTTGTTTTCTTAATTTAATGTTGTTTTCATATTTATTTCATTTCATTTCATTGATGGTAGTAGTTTGAAAATAATATTGTTTTAATTTCCTTTAATTTTTATGAACTTATCTTATTTTTTCTATTTTTAAGTATTCTCTTTTTTTAATTTTCTTTTAACTTTTACAATTTATAAATTAAAAAAAAAACAAAATATATTTGTTTTATTTCATTTATTTCTTAGCGTCTTATTTTATTTTTTCTGTTTTGTAATTGAACTTTCTTCTAGTTTTTAGACTTTGTTTTAAAAATATATTCTTTTTTTGATTAGTTTTCTTCTTTTTCCAATTAAATTTTTAGATTTTATTGTTTTAAAGAGAAAAAAATTTAAATTAAATAAATTTTTAGATTTTTTTTTATTTATTTTTACTTTATTATTATTGTCTTGAAAAGAAAAATGTGTGTACATAAACATATATATTTTTAATTTAACTTAAATTACAAAATTTGTAAAATTTGAAAGCTAAATAAGCATCATTATTTCATTTCTTGACGGTTTCTGAAGAAAGATATTTTTTTCGATTGAAAAAATGTATTTTCCTCATGTAAAATATAAGGGAAACTTCCGAATTAACCTTTAGAAAGCGTGATAATAGTCGCCTAACTTTGTCCAGTTCAATTTGCCCCTCCATGGGTTTTTGGTGTAGCTTGAAACCAGACCAAACCAGACCAGAGTCCTTGTAGTAGAAAGCTTTCTACTATTTTTATGGCTTGAACAAATCTTCGAACTGACATACTATAGAAGCTCCATTCAGCATCCTTTGATCATAACCTTTTCGCTATGGAACTCAAAAATATTTCATTTGGGTCCTTTCTGAGCTTCATAGGTTATAGCAGAACGAAACGTCTTTCAATTTCACCACATGGAAACACATTCCAAACGATCTCCGTTCTACCATAATTCAACAAACTTGGACTTATAAGTTTTACTTGTTCTATTAAAATGTAATAAAATTTGTATTAGTAAAATAAGTTACTTACGTAATGTCATCCTTCTCCTTTTTCGTCACCTCGCAGCTAAGACACATTCGATCCAAGGGCAAATCATGTTTTCGTGCGCTCTCTTGCATTATGGCTGTAAGAAAGCTCTGTGGATTGAACAACCCCCCAAGCCAAATAGTACAAGGCAGCTTAAAATCGTTGAGCCAACTGGACAATTCCTTAATACGATGCAAAAGATCTGCATACCAACTTTGCAGGCCCAACATGCTGGGATAAGCCAATAGGGCCCAAGTTGTTGGCACGCTATCATAGAAAATGGCATGATCTAGGCGTTCCATGTCGGGAGTTATAGTGAGTTCACCTTTCAAGCCTAACAATAGCTCGCGCAAAGATCTCTTGATTTCACATATCAATGCATTCATGCGTTCGCACTCCTGCAACGCCACCACCACAAACGGCGTTTTACGCTCCACCCGATTAAGTAAGGCCTGCAAATTGAACTCATCCTGCATTTTATCCAAAAAGTCCTCACTCATAATTTTCACAAGCTCCTCTCGTGGGGCACCACAATTTGTGCTAAGCTCTGATTCGCGTGGCTGTAGCTCGAATATGGTTTTAAGTAGTTGCTCCGATGCGCTGGTTAGGAAGCCAATCTCGGCATTTGCATGCAGTCCGTAAAGTACGGGCGATTCAGGCGGCAACATTTCATCAATGTAGTTATGATAGCCTTGATAGTCAAGATTGGGAGGCGCAGCAAAACCCGGACACAACTCCAAATCACCATCGATGAGCTCTTGCTGCAGTAACTCTTCGAGGTATGTGCGACAGAGGCGACGATCCCAGTCGTCCGTAATGTGACCGCCGTACATGATTTCCCCGAATAGGTAACGTAAGTCCTCCCATGGTATGCGACTGCTGCCTTCCAAGTAGTTGTGCAGCACATTAGCTGAAATGATGAGGTCACTGACATTGAAGGGATACGCCTTATTCCAGCCCTGCGGTCCAAACTTGCAGCGCTCACCCGATACAGCGTGAAAGTAGCAAAGCGCAAAGAGTATTGATTTGAACTCGGCCTCTTGTGTGCAGGTTTCTAAGGAGTCCTGTGAAAAGTTGTCCCAAGCCTTGTGTAGATTAGCGGCCATGCCTGACGGTGGTTCATTGACTATTTTCAGCGAAGACTCCAGTATGCCCTGCGGTATGGCGTGATATTCTGGATCTGGCGCGGGTTCGGCGCTGATAAATAAACGGAAATTTGAATTGGTGTTGTCATCATTCAGCTCGGTCTCGGCAACTATGCGTTCGATTAGTTTCTCTAATGAAGGAAGCCAGTTCACAACTAAATGGATATTTTGCAGGACAACCCACTGGTGTTTATTGGTCAATGCATTGATGATAGCGTCTTCGGCTAATTGCTCTTGACCTTGTCCTAGTGATATATTAATAAGCGTGTCGTTGTCGGCCCGAAAGCCCAACTGCTGGCCAAGTAGCTCAACATCACGCACGGGATTAATGCCTGGTGAAAGTATAAATAAAACTGGTGTGCTGGCATTGATTTCTTTGAAGATTTCCGAAAAAGCTGATGTCTGTGTCCGCGTGTACTCCTTGCCCATTGTCAGTTCTACAAATAATCTGAAAGAATATACCTTGGATTAATATTGTATGGGAGCCTTTCATTACAATTAAGAACAGTTTTTTCAGACTCAAGCGTATGTTTGAAAACGAATTTTATCATTTACTCACCTCATCGCATACAGCATCCGATCTGGACGTACAGCTCGTATAATACAAAGCTTTTGCAGCGGCGAACGATACTTCCATTCGCCCGGGAATTGCTCTCTTTCTGGCGCTGCACTGGCAAGGAATTTACTCCATCTTTTCGGATAGCTTTCCATGTCCTTATCGATGCCATAAAAATGCTCGATACCGCCTAGGGATTTAATGCCGCCCCAAGCTTTTCGGCTTACAAAGTCCAGTGGAGACAGTGAGTTTGGATCGTGTGGAAAGCGCAACAAGAAATCAAACTCATCTTTGGAAATCTGTCCGGCTGCGCTCTGAATACGCAAGATCATGTGTGAAGTGAACGTCAATTTGTCGACTTCGAAGAGGCCACGCATCGTGTAAATGAATGTCTGCAGCGTGATCGACGCCACCAGATGCTGTACACGGCGCTCATGATTTTTGCTTTTCGGTGCAGTGGCAATTGCCTTCTTGAAAACGTTCATAAACGATTTCAGCGAAAACTTATAGATGGGATTTATACGACTGAGATCGGTGAGAACAAAATAAAGTATAGAGGCGCGCTTGGCCGCTGCACGATATCTATTTCGCGCTTCGTCAATTTGCGCGCTAGTTATGAGCGCCTCTCGCACTTTCAGCTCAATCTCATCAACTGTGTGCTTCGTCGCCTCCAAATTGATGACAAGCGCATGATCATCCAATACATTCGTGCTGGATGAGGCCAAACGCACAAGCAGTTCGTCCTCCAAGGCTTTAAGTGAAATTTTGAATTTATTTTGCTGTACTGTTACGTCGATTTTCATTTGTTCCAAATCGGGTCGTTCGATTTTCACTACCTCGGCAAGCAGTTGCTCTTCAAGGCCATCCGGTGTGACTGTAAAGTTGATGAGCGTTGTTTGCGCTTGGATTTCAGGTTTGTAATGTGGATTTGGTAATTTTGTATGCAACAAAAGACGAAAGTTGTTATTAAAGTCCATTTCCTTGCCACATATGCGTATGTAACGCCCCTTCTTGACTAAAGCGCGACTTAGCAGTGGCTCCAGCACAGTGTCTATAGTTTCACCGATTTGCTCAATAAGCACAGTCTCGCCATTAGCCATAGACTTTTCCAGCACATCTAGGAAGCCCTTTTGATTAAGACGTATAATAACGAGTGTATCTCCGTATCTGTTTTTTATCCACTTAATGCCCTGACTGTGGAAGAGATAAATAAAGATATAGGAAATAATCTTATCATTAACTATCGCATATTTGAGCCCATAAAATTGCTTTGAGTTTTGGGTTAGAAATCCTTTATCATAAATTTCTTAGATATCTGTGGCTTCCATAATGAAAATATCGTTGAGTATAAAGGGGTTGTTTTAAGTTACAAGAATTTAGTAGTGACTATGTAGTTGTTGTTCTTTTCTGAGCAATACCTCTCACAAGAAGCCATAGAAGTGCTAGATATTTGCGAAACTTGAAGATTTCAAGTAAATGTAATATTAAAGGGAATAGGCAAGAGTTGTAAGGACAGAAATGGCGTACGCCTTGGGCTACGATAGAAAGAGGAGCTCCGGTGGCACCACTCCGACTTCTTCGGTTTAAGGGCTCACTGAGCAAGGAGATAATTTTATACTATATGTAAACCTCCCAGCAATGAGTAGATGATAATCGTATCCTAAAAACGTATATCCATTCCATCGGATAATTGACCCTCCGAAATATGTATTACGATTTGCAGCTATGCCTGACCCTCTTTAGAGAAGGTGCCTCTCTCCAACGAATGGGTTTCAAAGAGAAATACTATTGCGATGGAGAGGACAACGCTGCAAAAAATTTGGTACGTGACACATCTGTGTACTGGAGCTGCTACGAGACGGCGCATAAATTTGGTGTGGTTGGGCGGGCACTCCAACTTCTTGTCTCCAGGTTCGCCCACATCAGTAAACGAATATCAACAATCCACATTAGTTGTATTCAAAAGTATCAGCCTGATTGCTCTTCAAGTCCCCGACGGCGGAAAATAACGATGAGACCAAGGAGCGTTCTATGAGCGCCTGGTAGAAGCATACGAATGCTGTCCCCATCACGATGCTAAATTAGTGCTTGACAACTTTAATGCCAGTTAGGGCCAAGGAGGCACATTTAACTTTCAGTACAAAACCTTTGAAAACGGAGAGGAGTTGATCGGTTGGTAGTACCAGGCAACAGCGTCGAAGCGTTCATGAAGCCACTTCCTGTTTCTAGCGGCCATAAAGTAAAATTGAAGTACAAAAATGTACTAAAAATATGTGGAATAAAATTATAGTTTAAAAAACTAAAACCTCCCTATTGTAATTGCCATTCGTACTGTCAACAGGTATGTAACTTGAGAATAGAAATCGCTGCATCTTTTAGGCGCATCAATATTACATAGTTACATCCCGAGCTAATAAAAGGAAGGTGAAAAAAAAAACAAAAACTAGTTACATAAAACATTAATTTTCTCCTCTTAACAAAAAATAAATTACTTGGTTCTATTCTATCATAGCAGAAATGCACTCGTTTATACAAATAAGTAATTAGCTTGCCAATGTATGTATGTAAGTAATCTTTAAATAACCATTAACGGTAAGTTAAAAAAAAGTAAAGTAAAGTGCTCTCGAATGTGCAGTTGTGTTTAATTTTTCCGCATTAATCTTACAGCTGAGGGTCAATCATCAATGGCCAGCGGGTCGAGTGAGTTAAAATTGTTGCATTTTCCGTTGACATACGATCCACCGGTAATCCTTCATTATTCCAAGTCGCAACTTGTGCATCGTCCGTGAGCAGGGTTAGCGGATCAACGCCAATTGTGTACGGTACAAGTGGCTATTTATACAAAACAAAAAAAAAAAAAAAAGAAATGAGTTTTAGAAAAATACACATGTATGTACTTGTATTTATGTATGTGCATTTTCATCATTAGTTTTCCTTTTTAAATAAGCAATCTCACTGTTTACCTCGATTTTTGCAAAGCTCGTCATCCACATCTTTTGCTGCAACTCCTCTCGATAGCGCCGCGTAAAACAGCCAACATATGACAAGAAAGAGGAAATTATCAAGATATCTCCAGGTAGAGTACCAATTTTTGCTTGTAAGCTGCTTATTGCCGTTGGAAAACATGCAAAATCAATAGGAGCAACAGCAGCAGCAGCAACATCGACCGCAGCAGGTGAAAGGAGAAAAAAAAAAAAATTACTATAAATCTTCAGAGTCATACTTGTGTGTCAAAGTCAAGGAGGGTGCAGTCAATGACGACGGATGTCGATGTTAATACGCTTAAGAAACGGGAAATTGAAAAAATAATGACATGGACCTCAAACAATTGGGCGCGATGGGTGATGTGCCAAGTCGGACAGCGAATGCAAGGATGCAAAGATATGTAGGTATGTATAAGGATGCACGGCTGCATTTTAATATTCCCTGAAGGTACAGATACTTTTACAATAGTGGTATTCACCAAAGTGAGCAAGTGCCAGGCCACTCTGTCTGGCAAAAGAGCAGATCAGCTCAGGGATGATAAATGAATTTTTCGAAATTGTATCAAGTGTTTGAAAAAAATCTACCAAAATCAAATAAAAATGTGGCAAAAAAAATTTTAAAGCTTTCACAAAAAGAACGAATGTTTAGCACAAATATACATTTATTAAACGCTTTTCAAATAAACATCTTGTAAACATATACATATGTATATGTATTAAAAGTAGAATAAAAATAAGTTAAGCATTTCACTTTCTGTGAGATCGTAAGTCACATTTTGTTTTAAAGAGTTTGTATGTATTTGTATATCATGACATAATCTTCTGCTAAGTAGAAGTTTTAACCAACGTAAATATATAACACATCAAAATATACACAGCGTTGCATTTCCAAATCGCACCAAAAAGGTCTATGTGGTGTCAATGTACTTTTTGGTTTCAAATTGTACCAAAAAAGCACAATTGTGACAACTTTATCATCGCTGGATCATCTGCTCTCTTGCCACAGTGCCAGGCCACTTGCTTACTTTGGTGAATACCACTAATTTACTATATAGCCAATGGCCATGGTAAGACAATTTTTTGTGCTACATATATACATAGCTAAGTGTGTATGTACATTAAACCGTATCACGGTATATGGGCAAAAAAAAAGTGAAATTTGTTCCAAACGATTTCGATCACTCACTATGAGAATATATAAGGAGTGTAAACAGAGACATAACTATTATGAGAGAAAAGCATATAAGTCAATCAATGATCATTATATTAAGATAAATATTTTTCGAGTCATCTATAATTGTTATTCAAAGACTTATATTATACAAGTTTTTTCATAATAATTATCATTGAGATAAATATTTTTAATTCTTCAAAGACTTTTATTTTAAGACTTATATTGAAAGTCTTTTCATAATAATTATGAGCGCGAAAAAAATTTTTAAGACTTAAAAGACGGGACTTGTTCAGGAGCATGGTGGAGGGCTAGGTGGACACCAGTTGGGAAGTAGTTTGTGACCCGTTCGGGACTATATACAAAATTTTATTGCACTCATAATTATTATCAAAAGACTTTTATTATATAAGTCTCAAAATAAAAGTCTATAAAAACTTAAAAATATTTATCTCGCTGATAATTATTATGAAAATACTTCTATTATATAA